CCATGCTGGTGTCCTGAGCTTGGACTTCCAGCCTCCAGAACTGGGAGAAACAAATTTCTGTTCCTTATAAATTACCCAGTTTATGATAATTTTCTATAGCTGCCCAAATGACGACAAAATCTCAGCCAAATTTATCTTTGACACTCTTTGAGCTATTTTGACAGATAATATTGCAAGTTGGGTGCCTTCAATATAAAGACCTCTGCCAAAAGCGCACAGACACTTCTGCATATAAAAATTAATTTATTCATTCATTTAAAATTTGATAAAAATACCAATTTACTAACTATGGGGCATTTGGTTTGAAACTTGAGAAAATGCTCTGGGGGAATCTTAGATGGCCAGAAATGGAGCTTATGGTATGAAGACAGCAGAGAGAGGATTGAGGGGGAAATGCTTCAGCCCTCTAAGGAAGTTCCTACGGATGCCCATGGAGCCCGAGATGGGACTCATGAGAACAGCGGAGAATTCATGCCTAGCACAGGAGCAGGGGAGTGGAGCTTGACTGCACCATGGTTTTCTGTGGGTGAAAGAACTGCTCAGGTCTGAGTGGTGCCATTTGGCAACACTTAATCAAGTTGAAATATTCAAATCCCATGACACATTTATTCTGTATGAGATTGCCTATTACAACAGAGTTTTTAAGAGTTAAAAACTGATAGATGTCTGTGATGGGGAGTGTTTATATAAATCACAGTATCCTCCCCTACTGGAATCTTGCATAGCAGTCACCATAAATGGACCAATCCTACAAAAAAAATCTAGATAAACATCTACAACACAAAACTGAATGAACAACTGAGTGTTGGAAGGATACTCCCATATAAAATCACTTACATGTAGTATCAAAACATGCAAAACAATATTATATTGAAAGATCTGAAGTAGCTACAGTCCCACTGTGCAACTCCTCCCTGCCCTAGTTTAAAGAGATAAATAGAGTATGTCACTATTTCACAGTAGTGATTCCTCTGGGAAGAGAGGGAGGAGAGGGAATTGGAGAGGGATTCAGAGAGATCATCAATACATCTGTAATATTTTACTTTCTTTTAAAAAAAGATCTGAAGTAAACACTGGGAAGAAATGTTAACCTTTGTTCATTCCCAGTAGTGGGCATGTGGGTATTTGTTATATCATCAACTATACTTTTCTGTGTGCTTGAAATATTTCATAATGAAAAGAGTAAATGTGCAAAGGAAAGGAGAAACTCAGCGTCTTGGCTCTGTGGAAATGTTTAAGCAAAAGCTGTGCAAACGTGGTCTGGTGCAGAGAGCAAATGCTTCCTGCATAGGGCCGAGAGCCTGACCTGGGTGACTTAGAAATTGGGCCCAAGTATCTGAGCCTTGCCTTGCCTTCCACAGCTTGTGGGTTGTCTCTGTCTCTTTGGGCTGTTGTTTCCCATTTGTGGATGTTCCCCGTCCTGTGAGCTGAGGAAGGTTTGGTGGAGGTGGTGCAGGGAGCATGGTGTCATGCGTGGTTTGGAAGATGACTGGGGCTGGCCAGACTTCTCCCCCAGAAACCTTTACTGACAGACAGGTTGTCAAGTGAGTGACAGCCAAGCATGCAGGGCAGGGTGTGCAAGCAATTTTTGAAAAAAATACCTTACTTCTTCAAGGGCCATAAAGCCCTGTGAACAAAAAAGCAGACATAGATTTCATTGCTGGGCACTATAGTCCAGCGGAATCCATCCTGTAGTCCAGGTGCTGTTATTGACTCACCGTGTCACCAGTTTTTTCTTGCTTATGAAAATGAGTAGTAATATTAGTGCTTGCCTTGTTGGGTTACTCTGAGAAATAATCAAGATTTCACATATAAAATTCTTAGCACAAATTCTGGCTCGGAGCAAATGGCTGGCACCTGTTAACTGACTGCAACTACAGTTAATTTGGATTCAATCCTTTGCTGCTTAGATCCAATGATAGTCATAATAATATACACACATGCGTGCATGTGCACACACACATGACTTGAAAATATGGCTAAAGAGACTATGGTTTCTAAACCCTAACTGTGATTGTAGCTGATTTTCTTCCTGATTAGATGTGTAGTATCTTTCATAAGTATGCCTTTGAAGGAGGGAGGAAGGCAGATCCTCAAGAATCTGGCAAAAAGTGGCCACTTACATTTGCAGAGCCTTCTCTTTTGAGCCACTCATCTTGGGAGCACCCAGTCACTAGATTGCTCTCTTGGTCCACTCTCTTCTTGCCTTCTTCTCTCTGTGCTGGCTTCCTTCTTCCTCTGAGTTTGTCCTTTTTTTTTTTTTTTTTGTCCTGGCTCCCTATCCATTCATTCTGTCCCATGGGTTCTGCTCCAATTCTGTGCTGGACACTTGGCCTTTGCCTGGTACAAGCCTATGCTGATAATGGTCTGGACCATGTAGCGACACCCCATCCCCATTTACTCTCCAAAACACAGACAGTGGACTGTTTAGCAATGTATTTCTAATCATGTCATGTCCTGCCTCACATGGTTTCAATAGTTTGTCTTTACTGCTAGGAAGAAAGTTTAGTGCTCAGGATGACCTACAAGGCCCTGGTGAGTAGTCTCAGCATCGAGTCTCAGCTATCACCCATCCTTTGTGGTCTTCCAGCTCCTCTGTGTAACTCCTCCCTGCCCTGGGATTAAACTCTGCTCACAGAGGCCAATCACATTCCCCTTAGTGTTCAATAGATTACTAGGAGTCAAGTCACTGCCTTTGTCCACACTAGAAGACTATAATGACCTGGAGCTTCTACCCCGTTAGTCATGGTCCTTATTAAATTCAGTGGTTTCCCCTCATCCACTTCTAGACCTGCCTCTCCTCTGAGGCTTCCATCACATCCCACATTGCCCTTCTATTGTCTCATGACCCACACAGATGCTTTTGAATTTCCCTGAGACTTCTGCTCTTAAGGACTTGCTCTCTTCTTTGATGATAAGCTCTTTTAGCCCCTCTTTGTTCCTGCCTCTGTGTGGTGCCATCAGTGGCCCAAGTGGCCATCTCATTAGTTCCAAAGATTCCCTTATGCCCCTCCTTATGCCATTACACGTATCAAAGACCCAACCCTGGTATGGTATAACAACCAGCTTGAAGAATGGTGTGTATACAGCCTTGAGAACCAGGACCTCCTTTGGCTACTGGGGCCTTGACACCTTAATTTTCTGTGCGTTTTTCATTGCTTCCACTTCCACCCTTCTATAGAACACCCTGAAGCTCATCTCTTTCTTCTCAAATTCTCCACTTAATCTTGTGCACACCCTTCCCTCCAGAAGATGATCTCATCTCCTGCTGCTCCTACCACCTGCTGACTTTTGCACGGCCACACCACTCTTGCCTCCTCTAGGACAACTCTTCCACTCAATTGATTCCAGGCATTATTCTGGCAAGTTAGAGCCCCACCGCTTTCTGGAGACCCACAATTTGTCACTGGGATCCATGTCCTACTGGGACTGAGCCTACCTGCCAAACCAGAACTCAACTAGTCAGCAATATGATCTCATTGACTACACTTGTTGGCTCACTGTAGGACAGGTGACCCACTTTAGATCAATGAGAACCAGCTCTAACTTTTGTTATAATGTAAGGTGAGATGTTCTCTCTTTCTCAATGGAGAAAAGCACCCGATTGCAGACAGCCATTTGTGCTGTTGGAAGAGGAGCCTGTCTGCAAATATACATGCTCAAACCAAATCTAGCAGCATAGAGAAAGGATTATACACAACAAACCAGTTGGATTTATTCTAGGAAAGCAAGGGGGCTCTACTTAAGTAAAGCAACCAATGTAAGGTACTGCATTAATAGAAGAAAGGACATGATTGCCTCAATAGATACAGAAAGAAAATATTACAGAGTCCAATATGTTTTCATGTTAAAAATACTCAATAAATTAAAATATAAGGAAACTTTTTTACCCTAATAAAGGCCACCTATGAAAACTCCATAGTTAACATGAACATAATGATAAAAGACTACATAAGTATTTAGCCAGGGAACAAGGCAAGCGTCTTCTCTCACCACTTCTCATTAACACTGTAGTGAAGCTCCACTCTAGGGAAACTGGGCAAGACAAAGAAACAAAAAGTAAACAACCTGGAAAGCAGGTAGACTTATTTGAAGATTACTTTCTCTTACGGAAAATACTAAGGAATCCATGAAGGAACCTGTTAAATATAGTAAATGAGTTTGGTAATGTAACAGGACACAGAATCAGTATACAAATATGAGTTGTCAAATATGAAGAAGTATTTTTATGCTTTTGTAGCGAGTTTTCCCAGAGCAAAGTCCAGAAAACAATTCTATTTGTAATAGCATTTCAATGAATAAAATTCTTAATACATTTGCCAAAAAATTTCCCTCGATGGTTGACACTGAAAGCCACAAAAATCATGGGAATTTTTAAAAAATAGGCCTTAGAAACTGAAAGATATCATGCATTCATTGGTTAGAAGATTGACTACTAAGAGCCCCACACTGACCTACTGATACAACACGATCCAAATCAAAATTTCAGTTCTTTAGAACAAACTGACAAAGCCAAAACAAACTGACAGAGATACAATGTAGCTAGATACCCAAAGAAATACAGAAAAATGACAAAGCTAGAGAAAGCTTATACTTCCCAATATCAAAACCATTAACACTGTTATGGTTATCAGTTCTGTGTAATTTAGAATAAGAACAGACATGAGTGCAACTAGAGAGCATACTCATAAGTGAAATAAACCAAACTTGGATGTGTAAACATAGCAGTGTCTCCCTATTTAAGAAACTGAGAGAGTAAATAAGATCCCAAGGGTACAACAGGTACTGTGAAAGGGAAAGAAACTGCTCAATGGGAAAGAACAACTGGGATGGGGAAAAGGAAAGAAAAAGGAAGGAACATATAAGATAGCAAAGATAATTGTACTACTAATTTCTGTTGTTCATTGAAAGGAACAGTGTTCATGTTGTTTGATCTTACACACCTATATATGGTAATCTGAGCAATTACTTTATTTATTTATTTTTATTAATTTTATTGAAAAAATATGGAACGTTCCATGAATTTGCGTATCATCCTTGTGCAGGGGCCGTGCTAATCTTCTCTGACTCATTCCCATTTTAGTATATGTGCTGCCAAAGCGAGTGCTGAGCAACTACTTTGAAAATAACAATATGCAATACAGTAACCATTGTTAATTTCCTGTCATCTTGTTTCTAAATTTTGTATTGTTTTTAAATTCTCTTTAAAATAAAAAAGACATATAGAGCAGTGAGACAAAATTGAGATTTCAGAAATAAATGGACGCATTTTTAGTCAACTAACTTTTTGACAGTTAATCAAATTAACTATTGAAAGCAAATGAGAGTGTGGTAACTGGATATCGCAAGGAAAGAGGGAATTTGGACACTTGCCTCACACGCCAAACACTGAACACAAAATGAATAACAAACTTAGTAATAAGAAATAAAACGAGGTCAACAATTTCTGACATTGCCAGTGAAGCAGAAGACCCAATACTATTAAGGGCTACTGGGCTCTTTTAGAATATTTTGCTGAGTTTACATACCTATAATATTCAAATAACGGAACTTAACAAAAAAAGGGGTACAGATGAATGTCCATTTTGTATCTGTGTATGCAAAGTGGTTAGGATAGATATATAGTTACATTTTCTTAATGAATAGAGCGATTTGTTCTAATGGTGTTTGTAAATAGAATATCAAGTCCGCATCTTGTACAGCAATTAACCACTAGGAAGAATGTATGCAATGTGTTAATTATTGAAACTGTCCTACCAGTTTGGTTTGAAACTGTCTTACTGCTATTTGCTTCTCAATAAAATTATGGGAAAAAATAAAAATAAAATTAAACTAAAAAAAAAAAAATTTAACCAGTTATTCCTCAAAGGACTTCTATCCAGAAAATATAAAGAATTGAAAACGATCAGAGTCTCCAAATTCAAGGCCCCAGTCCAAAGATGGGCACCTGAGATGAGCATGCACTTCTCAGAGGAAGAAATACAAATGACAAGTAAATATATGCGTCCTAGTTACTCTTCTCTCGTTGCTGGGACAAATACCCGACACTCAAAATGAAGGAAGGAAAGGTTTGTTTAGCTCACAGTTTGTGGAGGTTTTAGTTTGTACTCTGCTGGCTCCAAAGCAAACGACAGCAGTTACTGGCAGCAGAAGACAATGAAGAGCAGAGGAGGGGGCGCAGCAGCTGCGGCTTTCCGTGCTCCCCAATGAACACTGTAGCTCCTATGGAGCGCGCTCCTGTGAAGACACTAACTTCTCCAAGGAAGTGCGGCAAGGCAGTGCGCGGGAGCCTTCCTCAGCTCCTTTATATACACTTTTTGTGCTGAGTCACTCTGGGACGGCCCTTGTGCCCTAGGGTAGAACCAATTGTGTCCCAGGGCCGGCCCAATAGCACTCCAGGGTGGAACCAACTGTGTCCCAGAGAGGGCGCTTCCCAGCTCAACTGCGCAGAGCAGGTCAGCCAAGTTGAAACAATGTATCAACCACTACAATAGGAAAAAAAGTCAAACATCATTGGTCATCTGAGAGATTCAAATTAAAAGAACACTGAGATTCTACCTCACTCTAGAAAGGATGGTTGTCACAAGGAAATCAATCAATAATAAATGCCAAAGGGATTGTGGATAAAACGGAAACTTTCTCCACTGTTGGTGAGAGTGTAGACTGCTACAATCACTGTGGAAATCAGTGTGGGATTCTTTTAAAAAACAGCACAATTTGTAATAACTGAATCTTGGAAATGACCAAAATGCCCATTAACTGAGGAATAGATAGAAAAGATCTGATTTTTTCTACAAAAGTACTACTCAGCCATAAAGAAGGACAAACTTGAGACAATTTTAGGCAAATGTATGCAACTTGAGATCATACTCATAAATGAAATAAATTAGATTCACATATGTAAGCATTCTATTGTCTCCCTGATGCGAGAAATTGAAAGAATAAATAAGGATCACTTATCAATAAATAAGGATCAATAAATGAGAATAAATAAGGATCAAAATGTATAATAGATATTGTGAAATGGGAAGAAAGTTTTCAAAAATGAAGAGGAACTAAGGTAGGAAGGGGGGAAAGGAAGACATGAAAGAGAAAAAAAAAACATGATAATTATACTATTAGCTTCTCTTTGTTCATTGAAAAGAAAGGTTTGTGCCAATACTATTTGGAGGACTTCTTATGCCTGTATCTTGTAATCTGAGTAACTACTTTGAAGATAACAATATGCAATATGAATATTGTTATCCTCTTGTTATTTTATGAGGTTTTATTTTTACATAAAATAAAAAAGAAATAAAATTAAAAAAGAAATAAAACACTTAGAAGAAAATATAAGTGCAGGAAAATTACAGTACTCTTAAAAAAGAGATCCTAGAGGATTTCAGAAAATGGAAAGATATCCCATGCTCCTGGATAGGAAGAACCAACATCCTGAAGATGGCCATACTCCCAAAATTG